GCACATCATGTATGGTTTCAATACGAGGCACATCATGTATGGTTTCAATACGAGGCACATCATGTATGGTTTCAATACGAGGCACATCATGTATGGTGGAATGTCCCCAATGGTTTCAATACGAGGCACATCATGTATGGTGGAATGTCCCCAATGGTTTCAATACGAGGCACATCATGTATGGTGGAATGTCCCCAATGGTTTCAATACGAGGCACATCATGTATGGTGGAATGTCCCCAATGGTTTCAATACGAGGCACATCATGTATGGTGGAATGTCCCCAACCCATAGCGTACAAGGGAGATAAGGAAATAGCTTTCGACATAAAATGAATTAGTTTGATTTTTTTCGTCAACAATCACTTTTTAGTTTTAGTGACTTATCCATTTGCAATGACTATGCATCTCAATTTCTAAAGATTTCGTGATTCTCGGAGACTGTATTATTCTCTAAACTATATGATTATCTAAGTAAGACTGTATGATTCTCTAAGACTGTATGATTCTCTTAACTGTATGATTCTCTAAGACTGTATGATTCTCTAAACTATAAGATTATCTAAAACTATCTCATAATTTTTTTCGACACCATTTTCTAAAACTAATGACCATATTCTAAAAATGTCATATTCCAGCACATTAATGACGCGTTCGATGCATAAAAACTGCTCACAATTGGTGTTGTGCTCTGCTCACAATTGGTGTTGTGCTCTGCTCACAATTGGTGTTGTGCTCTGCTCACAATTGGTGTTGTGCTCTGCTCACAATTGGTGTTGTGCTCTGCTCACAATTGGTGTTGTGCTCTGCTCACAATTGGTGTTGTGCTCTGCTCACAATTGGTGTTGTGCTCTGCTCACAATTGGTGTTGTGCTCTGCTCACAATTGGTGTTGTGCTCTGCTCACAATTGGTGTTGTGCTCTGCTCACAATTGGTGTTGTGCTCTGCTCACAATTGGTGTTGTGCTCTGCTCACAATTGGTGTTGTGCTCTGCTCACAATTGGTGTTGTGCTCTGCTCACAATTGGTGTTGTACTCTGCTCATAAGGTGCATAGCACATACCGGTAATAGATGATTCATGGCTCTCAACTTACTTTTGCCAGACATTTTATGTAGAGGCGTAGCTAGAGTTAGTGCCACTCCGGGTGGGCAAAGTCATTTTATGCATTACATTTTATGGATTACAATTAAAGCTTTTTAATACCTTAGGGCAGTGGTCCCCAAACGGCGGTCCGTGAACCTTCGCCTGTCCGCATGCCTAATGCTGCCGGTCCCCATAACATAAATATTTATTGTCTAATAGAAATAAAAGAATAAAAATAAATCATGCACCGGTCCCTGGTAAAATTTCGAAACTTGTTCACCGGTCCGCCAAACTTAAAAGTTTGGGAACCACAGCCTTAGGGAACACATTTTCTCTTATTTTATATAATCACCATATCTCGGACATATTGACACAGTTGGACATATTGACACAGTTGGACATATTGACACAGTTGGACATATTGACACAGTCGGACATATTGACACAGTCGGACATATTGACACAGTCGGACATATTGACACAGTCGGACATATTGACACAGTCGGACATATTGACACAGTTGGACATATTGAAACAGTCGGACATATTGACACAGTTGGACATATTGACACAGTCGGACATATTGACACAGTTGGACACATTGACACAGTTGGACACATTGACACAGTTGGACATATTGACACAGTCGGACATATTGACACAGTTGGACATATTGACACAGTTGGACATATTGACACAGTTGGACATATTGACACAGTTGGACATATTGACACAGTTGGACATATTGACACAGTTGGACGTAACCAGATTCATTCGTAAAAAAATCTATGGTTCTATTTCTCTTTGTCAATTAAAGTCAAATTGGTTACAATGATTTCTGAGCAAAATTTGAATAGGAAAGGACAGCATCATTGAAGCTAAGAGAAACAAACAATTTTTATAGCAGTCCAACACTCTTACAGTTAGTAATAGAGAAAGAAACACTTTTTATAGCAGTCCAACACACTTATAATTATTGATAGAGAGACAAACAATTTTTATAGCAGTCCAACACTCTTATAGTTAGTGATAGAGAAACAAACAATTTTTATAGCAGTCCAACACTCTTATAGTTATTGATAGAGAAACAAACAATTTTTATCGCAGTCCAACACACTTATAGTTATTGATTCTGATAGAGAAACTAACAATTTTTATAGCAGTCCAACACTCTTATAGTTATTGATAGAGAAACAAACAATTTTTATAGCAGTCCAACACTCTTATAATTATTGATAGAGAAACTAACAATTTTTATCGCAGTCCAACACTCTTATAGTTATTGATAGAGAAACAAACAATTTTTATCGCAGTCCAACACACTTATAGTTATTGATAGAGAAACAAACAATTTTTATCGCAGTCCAACAGTCTTATAGTTAGTGATAGAGAAACAAGCAATTTTTATCGCAGTCCAACAGTCTTATAGTTAGTGATAGAGAAACAAACAATTTTTATCGCAGTCCAACAGTCTTATAGTTAGTGATAGAGAAACAAACAATTTTTATCGCAGTCCAACAGTCTTATAGTTAGTGATAGAGAAACAAACAATTTTTATAGCAGTCCAACAGTCTTATAGTTATTGATAGAGAAACAAACAATTTTTATAGCAGTCCAAACTCTTATAGTTAGTGATAGAGAATTTCTGAAACCTTCGTGATTCTGTTTATGTTATTCACATTAAAATAGAACACTAATACATTGTAGCAGAAACATGCTGAGACTGAGAGTAGATTTAAGTTGACGTATTAGTAAGCTATATGAGAAAATGGCCCCGACTACGCAGCGCCGCCATTCGCACCCGGGTCCCATCAGACTCAATGCTATTCGGATGTCATTTGTGGCAGTGGCATAGCTAGGTTGGTGCGGACCGCACCAGGTGACACCATTTTAAGGGGGTGACACTAAATGGTAAAGTTGCATATTTACTGAGCACACACTGCACGGTCTGACAGAGCACACACTGCTCGGTCTGACAGAGCACACACTGCACGGTCTGACAGAGCACACACTGCTCGGTCTGACAGAGCACACACTGCTCGGTCTGACAGAGCACACACTGCTCGGTCTGACAGAGCACACACTGCTCGGTCTGACAGAGCACACACTGCTCGGTCTGACAGAGCACACACTGCACGTTCTGACAGAGCACACACTGCTCGGTCTGACAGAGCACACACTGCACGGTCTGACAGAGCACACACTGCACGGTCTGACAGAGCACACACTGCACGGTCTGACAGAGCACACACTGCTCGGTCTGACAGAGCACACACTGCTCGGTCTGACAGAGCACACACTGCTCGGTCTGACAGAGCACACACTGCACGGTCTGACAGAGCACACACTGCTCGGTCTGACAGAGCACACACTGCTCGGTCTGACAGAGCACACACTGCACGGTCTGACAGAGCACACACTGCTCGGTCTGACAGAGCACACACTGCTCGGTCTAACAGAGCACACACTGCACGGTCTGACAGAGCACACACTGCTCGGTCTAACCGGATGTCATCAAAGGATAACCGATGACACGTACATTGCCCACCCCTGTAACCAATGCACATACGTGTTTTATTAAAAGTTCAAAGTCAGAAATGAGCTGACCCTATAAATAAGGTAAAAAAACAACTACGCAGTTTTGACCATGATTCAATGCCGATTGAAGCGTTCGTTAACTTTCGTAAGTGACAGGAAACTCTATTTATCTATAGGCCTATTCTGTGAAATAAAGCTTTCCATTGATACCAAATACGATATGGTCGGGCGATTCTAAGTACAGTTACAGTTCTTTAATACATTTACATCCTCACATTCAATTAATTTGCTTTTTTCTTTTCATTGTTATACAGTAGACTTATTTTAACAAGAAAAATCCATCATTGAAGTCGGGTTGTGTAAGGGGGGTGACGCCATGAGGTTTACCGCACCGGGTGACACAAACACTAGCTACGCCACTGAGTCGGGTGGTTTAAGGGGGGTGACGCCATGAGGTTTACCGCACCGGGTGACACAAACACTAGCTACGCCACTGAGTCGGGTGGTGTAAGGGGGGTGACGCCATGAGGTTTACCGCACCGGGTGACACAAACACTAGCTACGCCACTGAGTCGGGTGGTGTAAGGGGGGTGACGCCATGAGGTTTACCGCACCGGGGGACACAAACACTGGCTACGCCACTGAGTCGGGTTGTGTAAGGGGGTGACGCCATGAGGTTTACCGCACCGGGGGACACAAACACTAGCTACGCCACTGAGTCGGGTTGTGTAAGGGGGGTGACGCCATGAGGTTTACCGCACCGGGGGACACAAACACTAGCTACGCCACTGATTTGTGGTAGTTTATTTTAGTTACACTGAAGAAGTAACTTTACAAACACATAGTCCTTTCAATTATATTTCATTTGATACCTCATTTTGTCTTATAAACCCAACAAAATTTTTAATAGTTTTTAATCCCAACCTCTTACTTCAGGTACCCGGGTGCGAATAGTCGCAGCCTTTTAATAAAATAATCTTAGTAGAAAGTAAACGATGTGTTGCACAACTGTACTCCTCATAGTGCTGCACAGTTTTCATTCAGACTAGACTAAATAAATCACTATTCTTTATGAATACCAGATTATACAATTTATCTACAAGATGACCGAACTCTTCTCTCCCTTTTTCCAAGAATCGCCCCAAACAGCTTACATATAACTAAAGATTCTCCATGAGCAGCAAATAAGTTGCAATCACATCTCTGCCATTCAGTTTACTTAATTTGAACAAGAAGACTTCTATTTTAATCATACTTATTGTTCCAGTTAATGTCCAAATCAAACTTTTAGAAAATACTCCAAATTGAGAAGTATTCTAAATTAAAATTATTATACAGAAATATTTTCTAAAGATATTCAAAAAATAAAATTAAAACAGTGGGGAAATAAAACTGATGTAGACCTAATCAAGTGTTGTTTTTTTAATGGATAAATAATTTCAAGTTTTCATGTGCATACTTTTTGTCCATTTTTGTAAAGATTAAAAACAAAACAAAAATTTCCCCCAACCCACCAGGTATCATAACAAAAAAGCAACTTTGAGGCCATAGAGATGGACATACTGATGTGCAAACATAAATGGTGTGACTTGTCATTTATGTTGGACAAAGGTCCATTCAATAACAGAACTAACATAATTATAAAAACTCATAGTTTAAATAATGAGCATGTTCAGCCTCATAAGGTATATGAAATAACTGATCAGTCACACAACAAGAAAAACAAGGCAGATTGGATCATATGACCCATGTTTAAATTGCTGGAAGCTCAAAATGTGTTTAAAGATAAAAGCAATAACTAAACGATGCCAAAATGAACTGAGCTGTAACAAAAAAAGTATGTAATTAGTAATAGTGGGCATTAATTGCTACCTGTGTTTGCAATGAACATTAACCAAGACTAGGTAGGACAGGTATGAAGGCAGGATAGGTGTGAAGTGAGGACTCATGGGAACCTTAATAACTTAGTACAGTTTAAATAGGCAATTTTTTAAAAAAGCAAGAACAAAAATAGAAGTGCAACAAACCATTTAAAATGAAAACTATTTTGACATGAAATATTATAAGACATAGGTCTGGGAGGATAGCATGATAAGACATATGTCTGGGAAGATAGCATCATAAGACATAGGTCTGGGAGGATAGCATGATAAGACATAGGTCTGGGAGGATAGCATGATAAGACATAGGTCTGGGAGGATAGCATCAGGAGTCAGTTATACATGGTACAGTCAAATTAAAATAATATCACAACTTATTCTTACATTAGGCTTAAATTTGGCAAACATCACAAATATCTGGTACAACACATTAATCATTTCATAACCCTTAAGTTACAATACTCTTTGATGTCAAGGCACCAGGTCAATAACAAATGGCAACAACAATAAAAATCAATAATAACACACAACACAGTGTTTTGTAAGTGAGATAGGTGTGTGAGATTATTCTGGGTAAATGTTTGTTGAATGACCTATTGAGGTAAGTGAGATAGGTGTGTGAGATTATTCTGGGTAAATGTTTGTTGAATGACCCATTGAGGTAAGTGAGATAGGTGTGTGAGATTATTCTGGGTAAATGTTGAATGATCCATTGCAGTAAGTGAGATAGGTGTGTGAGATTATTCTGGGTAAATGTTGAATGATCCATTGCAGTAAGCTCTCTAACAATAAATTCCACACATAATGCATGTGTATAAATTGAATCTTTGGGTTCCTATCATCATCATTAGCCTGGATTAAATAAATCATCTGCCATTTTTTGTAGAAGATTTGTGTTATTCCAATCTTTCATTTGTAAAAATTGCTGCAACATTTTGTGTGACAAAATCATCATTATCCCTAACGTAAGCTGAACAATTTTATTTTTGAAATGTTATAATCAAAATAAATTAGAATCAACACTATGTGTCAGAATGAAAATTTCTGATGCTACCACAGTGTAAACTGGAATTTTAATTTAACTGAAAGAATACGTTTTTAAATAGAACTCTATTCCCTTTTTAAATCCTAGAATTTAAGTTTTTAACCACAAAAATAGCAGGCAAAGTTTTCTTAGCAAATAATAAGAACAATATGCAAATGGAATTTATGAGCAAGTGGTTAAAATATTAGCAGTACTAGCCAGCCTAAATACCCAGATAAGTGAAGAGTTCAGTAGTAAAGTTCTCACTACCCGATACCTCCAGTTTGTCATCAGGCATGAGGAAGCCTCAAAAACATGCTGACACCAGCTTAGGTGCATCTAGTTTACATCTAGTGCACAAATTTAATGTCACAAATAAAAAGAAACTAGCAAGGTAATAATAAAACATTTGCAGTGATGAAATGTACATTTAAGTTGACTATATCAATATATTTCATAGCTTTAAATATGCTGGTTATAAAGAATCCATGTAATGAAATTTTTTTAAAACTTTAAATTATACAGAGTAGCCTACAGTATGTTTATGGTTTAACATAGGGCCTGAAATGGTTACACTTGCATGCACAAAGTTACGGTTGAGCTGCAGAAAAGATTTTTATATTTTATGACAATTTATTGCACTTTGACCTCAAGTTACACATTATGAAACTTAAAACAACATGAATTCTTTTGGGGGTGTGGTTTATACTCTGTATGTACATATATTAGTAATTAGCAGACATCAATCTCTAACAATTCATATGCAATAAATATAGCAGCCAGATGTTGTAAATTCATGACTCTACTTTAGAAGACTCTATTTGGCCTAAAACACATCATTTGGCAGTTCAACACATCTGATATTCAATAGAGGACCCCAACATGACACTAATGTTAACTTACTCTTCATGCCTCAAGCTCAATGAGAATCATTGAGGGAGGTTTCTAAAAAAAAACAGCTATTCTCCATCACTCTTTACTTCAGTCAGTCTTTCTTTACTGGAGAATCAAAATTATTCCCCTTTGACTAAAACTTAATCATCAAAAGGTCATTTCAAATGGTCCAATCATTCCGCTTGATAAGTTAAACATGAAACAGTACCCCCTACGAGATCTGAGCTGTATGTTATCGTCCATATCAAATGTCCATCACTTTACAGATCACATCTACATATCATCATCCCTTGTGCAGCTCTACAAAACTACCGGTACTTCACATTGCATCCTTCATCATACTTCTTTTTTTCCTCTCATATCTGTCAAAGACCAACTTTGCCTAGGGCTGGTCTCCGTCATCTTTCACCTTGGCATCCAGACCAAAGAAGAGATTAAAAATGTGTCCACTGTTGTGCTGCTCCAGGTATTTGCTGAACTGACCGAGGTCCATGTGGTATTCACGACCTTTGCCTCCCCTAGCATCCAAAACCAGTTCGAGGAAAGGGTCAAACTTGTAAAACGCTGCTTGGTCCACTGGGTTGACAGGCATTGGAATGACCTGAGGTGATAAATCAAGGGAAATAAATTGAAATGTTTTGGTATAAAGGGATGTGAATCAGTAATTAACATGTCATGGAGCTTCCTTAAAAATACAAGTAAACTTATGTCCCAATGGACATTATCAGGTGAGAGTTTGCTTAAGTGGACTCAGTGGGATTTCTTTCACAAGGCCTGCTTCCACTTTGCTGCTGTGCCTGATACTGTTGAGCACCTGTGTTATTCTTATTGTAGGGAACTACAAAAGAAACCTCACTTGCCATAAGGGGAAGCCTTGGGCTTAAATATCATTCAGTGTGATTTGGGGTACCCTTATGTCTAATCAAAGTTCCTAAGGCTGGGCCAGTCTGTGAGGGCGTCACTGTGACTGCTTTAACTCTATATGTGTCATCTGTAAAAGACACTGTCTTATTTTCACATGTATAAAATGAAAGCAAAATAAGAACTCAACAACACATTTTAATAACCTCCTGCTCTGTGATGCCTATTTTCTTCCAGGACAGACGCCTGACCCTGTGCCAGAACTCAAAGACGTCGCGTGTCACTCCCTCAGCGCAGATGATGCCAGGCTTACCTGGCATGCTGAAGCCATGAATCTTGAGCTCTTTGCCCCAGTCCTGGATTTCCTGGCGCTTCTCCTTGCTGTAAATGTGATGACTGTAAATCCATAGCCTGGTCAGGGTGTCGCTGGACGACAGATAGAATAGTTGTTTTAACCCTTTTATTACCACTGGTTTTGCCATTGATTTTTGCTGACTCAGCAATAAAAATTTATCAGAAGAAATTTCCGGTGTTTTTTTTATTCTCTATCTGATTCGCTGATTAACTTCTCTATAGATTAACGAATAAAGAAATATATAGCAATGAAATATGACGTCGACGTGACATCTTTGGTATTTCAGAAAAGTTCTTTGCCTCTTTGTTATGACGACAATGTGACGTCCTTGGTAATTGAAAGTGGGTGATTGTGACGTCATCGGTAACGAAAGGGTTAACCTACACTGTGTTTTATTTATACCTAACGATTGGATGTCCAATGGCAATAATTATGTACTTAAGTCTTAACTTTTTAGTGATTTCCCTTTATTTAGTCAGATGAAGGTCATCCTTTTGAAATAGTAAGTTTTCTTTTTTTTTTTAATTATTTGACTGTATTAAACAGTTGGGTCTATTAGGTGAATATCAGTAATAGGATCAGTTTAAACAAACAATAAAATTGTTATAAATTATATGGCACATTTTACATTAAATTATTACTGGTCAACATTGAAATCATTACTGACTTAATATGGCCACTAATCTGTAGTATCTGAGTGTACTGGTACTGACTTAATATGGCCACTAATATGTAGTATCTGAGTGTACTGGTACTGACTTAATATGGCCACTAATCTGTAGTATCTGAGTGTACTGGTACTGAATTAATATGGCCACTAATCTGTAGTATCTGAGTGTACTGGTACTGACTTAATATGGCCACTAATCTGTAGTATCTGAGTGTACTGGTACTGACTTAATATGGCCACTAATCTGTAGTATATGAGTGTACTGGTACTGACTTAATATGGCCACTAATCTGTAGTATCTGAGTGTACTGGTACTGACTTAATATGGCCACTAATCTGTAGTATCTGAGTGTACTGGTACTGACTTAATATGGCCACTAATCTGTAGTATCTGAGTGTACCGGTACTGACTTAATATGGCCACTAATCAGTAGTATCTGAATGTACTGGTACTGAATTAAAATGGCCACTAATCTGTAGTATCTGAATGTACTAGTACTGACTTAAAATGGCCACTAATCTGTAGTATCTGAATGTACTAGTACTGACTTGAAATGGCCACTAATCTGTAGTATCTGAATGTACTGGTACTGACTTAAAATGGCCACTAATCTGTAGTATCTGAATGTACTAGTACTGACTTAAAATGGCCACTAATCTGTAGTATCTGAATGTACTAGTACTGATTTAAAATGGCCACTAATCTGTAGTATCTGAATGTACTGGTACTGACTTAAAATGGCCACTAATCTGTAGTATCTGAATGTACTAGTACTGACTTAAAATGGCCACGAATCTGTAGTATCTGAATGTACTAGTACTGACTGAAAATGGCCACTAATCTGTAGTATCTGAATGTACTGGTACTGACTTACAATGGCCACTAATCTGTAGTATCTGAGTTTACTAAACATGAATTTAAGCATGAACATTTTTGATAGGCTCTTGTTTTATAGATATTTCCTTAAGATCATTTTAATGATCCACCATGTATCCAGTAGGACTGATATTTATTTTTATGTGATTTATCTAAAGGAAAATGAGACAGCATGAATTTCCAAACAAATGCAGTAACTTAAAAAGTTGATTTGGAATTTCTAATTTTTTTAATTTCTTCATTTAAATGACTAAATAATTAAAGTTTGTTGCCTTTTCTAAGACTCTTCATTTAAATGACTAAATAATTAAAGTTTGTTGCCTTTTCTAAGACTCTTCATTTAAATGACTAAATAATTAAAGTTTGTTGACTTTTCTAAGACTCTTTTGATTTACTCCAGCCCCAACCCCCACCAAGAAAATAATTAATGGATTTCTTAAAAAATTGATACCTATTTATCATTAGAAATTTTTCTGAAGCTACTACCAAAAAATTGAATTGATTTGATCATCAAAAAACTTGTTTAAATGAACTGGAGAAATGGTCATGCCATTTTCATTTTGCAAACAAAATATATAAAAATTGCCCAAAGAATATTTCAATATTCACTAATAGTATTGGCGACATAACGCCCCTAGAAACAAGAGGTGCCCTAGAGGTTTGAGGTTCCCTGGAGACGTGAGGCCCCCAGAGAGGTAAGGCCCCCCTAGAGACATTAAGGCCCCCTAGAGGCATGAGGCCCCTCAAACATGAGGCCCCAAATAGGCGTGATACCGTGGGCAAGTGTGCAGTATGCCCATGCCTTGATATGGCACTGCTTTTCTCCACTATTTTCAATACTGAGTACGGAGCAGTGGTGTAGCTAGGGTTATTACCACCCGAGACTAACATCTTTATCTAACAAGATTGTAAACAAAAATTATTACTTTATTTTTTTTCGATTTATATCTGGGACAAGTACAACTTGTTTTATCCCCTTTAAGAAGTATCTAACTTGTGATTCCCATTTATTATATTAAACTTGGAATGTTTCGATAATATTGTGGGTTAAAATTGGGAAACATGCTGTCCATCGACTTTTAAATCAGATTAAATTGCCATAATCTTTCAATATTCATTAACAACATATAAAGCATGATGCTTCTAAAAGAGTTAATCTCCTAGAACAGGGGTGTCAAACTCAAACACTCAGCGGGCCAAAACTCAAATCACATGTAAGGTTGCGGGCCAAAACTCAAATCACATGTAAGGTTGCGGGCCAAAACTCAAATCACATGTAAGGCTGCGGGCCAAAACTCAAATCACATGTAAGGTTGCGGGCCGAACAGGATAAACATTCAATAAGCGAAAATTAATCTTTTTTAAAAACCTTTTAATAATTAAAAATCATTGGCATATCTATTTTCGCTCTTATGCCAATTTGTCAGAGCTGGATATTGGCCCATTTCATTGGCTACAAAAACAAGTAAGTTCGTTTATGTTGGGAGTAACGTTCTGTGTCATTGTGATTCTCATGATGGACTGCAAGTGTTTATCAGTGAGACGACTCCTGTGTGATGTTTTGTTAATCTTCATCACACAAAACAGCTGCTCACACATATATTATGTGCTACCCAACAGGCTCAAGGTTCGAGCGGCATGTAGACAAAGCTGGGGCACATCTTCACAAATGAAACTAGTGAACTGTGCAGGCCCAACTGTGTCCTACTTTGCCTTTACAAGTGTCCCTTTACACTGCTGCTCTATTAGCTCCATCTGCAAATTTACAGTTGCAGTGTCCACATCTATGACAAATGGGTTACGAAACAGTTCAAAATTACATTTCTGTGCTTCAAAGTCACTAAAGCACCGTGGCAACTGGGTGCGAAGTAAGCAAAGTTTTTCAGCAATGTGTGCATTGGGAAACACCATAGCATTGACTTGGATATAATTGTACACCGGTCAAGACCTCCCGGGCCTGATAATATTGTACGGCAGGCCGGATGTGGCCCGCGGGCCTTGAGTTTGACACATGTGTCCTAGAAGCATGATGCCCCCTATAAGCATCACTGACTGGCTTTGCTATGTTTCTATAGGAGAGACTCATATTATAATCAGATCACTTTGGTGTAAAATTCCTTAGAGGGAAGGCAGTAAGGAAGGATTTTAATTGGTAGACAATATAATGGAATTTTTTAACAGTATCCCAAAAACGTTTTAAACATTTATAGAACAGTCAAATAAGTGCTGAACTAATATTGCAGTGAAGGAAAAATCCAATACAGTCAATTTCAGCAGGGTGAGAAATGTAAATAGACAACTTAAATAAACTTGGGTGGGATTTTAAAAGCAAAATATTGGAGAAAGCACAGTTCCTAAACTTATTAAATACCTGCCAGGCATAGGTCCTTTCTTGTTTTCATCATCAAGTTTTGGAGGCGCATCTGACAGCAACTGCTGTAACTCTGTGTAGAGTCTTTCTCTTAACCACTCCACAAGGACTCCAATAATTATCCCACCTTCTTGGTGGCTCTCAAGCTCTACAAAGAGACACCCAATTTTTGTTTTTATTATATAAAAATTTTGGCTCGGCTATCTCATTTAAAATGGTTTGTTAAATATTAGAAATGTTGAACTTGTGAAATAAATCAAGTTAACAATATAAATTAAATATAAAAATGCAGCTTTTGCTATTCAATATATAAATTTAAATAATTTAAAGTAAATCCTACCAAACAAAATGTATGAGCAGCCTGTAAGCAAAGCTTAAAATTTCTAACTTATTTGTTAAAAGAAGTAGAAATTAGTAATGGATAGTTTAATACATCTGCTTCCCTCCTCAATGTTCTGGTATACTGATTAAGAAATACCCCTACAGTCAAATATGATCAAACAGATATAAAATATTGCTAAACATAAAGGACAATAGATACATTACTGAAATCAGGCTCAAAGAAACTCCATTCTCTTAAGATTACCTTTGTTGAGCTCATCCCTGAGCTGCTTGTGTCTGTCTCTGCTGATATCCGGAGCCCTGGTAAAAATCTGAGGCTTGACGAAGGGATATTCATGAGGCAGGTTACAAATCAGCTCAGCATCCAAACTCTGTCAATTACATTTGTTCAACACTTAGAGTTAGAAGAAACTTGTTGTTACGTATAGGACTAAAGATATTAAATCAAACTAATTTTTGTACACATATTTTAACAAAAGAATATGGGGTTTCTCGTCAATACTTTTAACATCAGGTTCAGTTTTAACTTTTTAAACAAAAATTAGAATAATAAATTACAGAACTGACATGGTGGTCAGTTCATGATCACATTTTATCATGTAAAATGATTCTCGGACTGACGAGCCCACAAACCGTTGACTGTTACCAACTGTTTCTTTCCCATTACCGGAGAACCCTTAAAAATCATCAACGGCTGATCTAGTCTTAAATTGCCTTCAAGTACTGGATCTGTCAGTGACAGTTCAGATGTTGTACCTTTGTTTCATTCTGAACCGTCACCTTCACTGTGAAGCCCAACCTGTTCTCCAAATCTTCTAGGCTAAGTTCGCCCGAGACAACAGCTTTGACCAGCTCCAAAGTGGTCGGGTCATCCAGAATAAGCTCTCCAGGACTTGGGTACATGGATGTCAACATTTCCACCTGATTAAAAAAAATTTAATACAGGATTCTTAATAGGGTACAAAAACGATTCGCAATAACTGTAATTAATTTCGCAGTTCTGACAATCTCAATGGTATTGTTTTAATGTTCTCTGAGATTTTGGGGAAAGTTTTATGTATATAAGAAACTTTTAGGCTGAACAGATAATGAAAGAAATTTTATCTTCAATACCAAGCCACTATTTGTTATAAACAAAACAGTACATTTTGAGATGACGTTAACAAACTAAATTATAACAATACTATTTCATACACAAACAAATAAGTCATCCTAAATATTATTAAACTTTATTTTTAGTGCAGAACAACAAATATTTTGTATAATTTGGCAAGTATAATTGTATTATTTTTTTAAATATATAATTAAACATTTTAATTAGTACATTTTTAAGCTTTCTAAATCACAAAATTAAAGATGATGGAAATGGCCCAGGAGGAAATTTTGTATGCAAAAACAAATGATTTCTTTAATATTTTTTTTTAAATAACTGGTAAACATTAACAATTAACTATCTTCTGGTAGATTCAAAATTTAGTAATTTCATAAGAAATCATATCCAATCCATGAATCATCCATTTTTAAATATATTTAAATTGTTAAAAGACAAGTTCCAACAATTTTATAGTCATTTTCATATCTACTCTAAACTTTTAAAATATGATTTTTTATTTTAAAAGTATATGGGTTTAAAAGCACTAACTTGTATTATTTTTTTTTCATTGGGATCCAAAATAGTAACAGTAATTTATGTCTTTAAAAAAATATTGAGTAAAGAAAAGAATATTTCTAAATAATGTCATTTACATCAATAAATACAAAATCTCCAGCCTATTATGTCTCTCTCACCTCCGCTAACTGAAGTTCTAAGCCCTGCAAGCATCTTTCAGCTGTCATGTCAATCCATTCAGAGTCCAACAGAGATATAAATGTAATACTGTTTTCAAGCTATAAACTGAAAAGTAAAATAAAATCTATAGAACAAAAATACACAAGATAAAACACTATTAGAAAATGTCCTTTGTCAGCAGTTAACAAATTTATTTCAGTATCATTGTATGCATTAAGTTTTTCTGAGAGAAATAAACAAAAGTTTTACTTCTACAAAAGGCTGGAGAATGATGAAACATCAAAATGGCTATTCACTGATAGGAAGATTTTTTTTTTTAAAGTTTGGGTTAAAGTTAAATTTCAGATAATCATTTCCCCACAGCACATGGTGAATTTCTGTATGATAAGGATAAAGCTTTTAGTGAATTTTTTTTGTTTATAAAACATACAGCAGTTTGTTCTTATCTCTTAATGGAGACGTTTTTAATTTTTAAAAATTTTAAATTGCAATTTTTAAAGAAAGAAAGAAGTGTACTTTGAAAGAGTTTTTTAAAAAAAGCTTTTTAAAGAAGTCTTTTAATATTTTATTTTTAAAGAACACCAGCTAACTTTCGCTCAACTTTATTCTAAATCAGTTCATAGAAAATGAGATTTTGGCAGCAAAACTTTTCATATTTTGTTCATGGGCAGTTCTTTTTTTTTAAATTAGGGAAATCTTAGCACTGTTCTTCCCTTTTGTGAAGCATGTTGAAGCAAAAAGAAAAGGATTAGATAATATGTCAGCCTGACGATCTACTGGCCTTGACATATCTACTGGCCTTGACATATCTACTGGCCTTGACATACCGGTAATATTTTTTTCAAAAATCTGTCAGTGTCAGAAAGCTCTGCTTTCAAGTGTTATAAAAGATCTCAAAAAATTTTTTTGTTCATTTGTTACTCAAACATCATCTGAAAAATTTATGTTAACCCTCTAACTAATGCTTTTAAAATATGGTGCTCAATTTATGTATCCACTAATTGAGTATAAGACTAAGTTACAAAAATGCTGCATAATTTAGCATCATTTCAAAATAATTTAAATGTTTTTTTCTTTTCTTGTTTTCTTTTATAAAGTTCTATAGCTCTGACTGTCTTCTGTAAGGAAATATGTCATTTTAAATCAAATTTAAGAACAGGTTGGATGGCATACCAGAGAGAGAGAGAGAGACAAGTGCAACACCTTTTCACTCTTTGTTGCATCATCCCATTTTATCTGTATTCGATCGTTTTTACCTATGATTAGACATGCTCTTTAATTACCTTAATAAGGTGTTTAAGCTATTTTAAGAAAAGCATTTTGTTATGTTATAATAATATTAGCATCTTAGTTCTCACTATTGGTCTTGAGTACCGATACAAAGGAGTATGAAAATTTTATCTCAGAAGGATAGAAAATATATGTTATTTTGGCTTTCAAAAGCAAATATTGTTTTAACCATTCCAAATAACAAGGGCTTTGGAAAAAAAAATTTAATTTGGCATTATTGTAAAAAAAAAACATTATCAGCCTTAGTTCTTCTGATACCATACCGGGTACTTCCAACATTCATAGATATTTTAAAAATTATTGTTAGTATTCAAACTTATCAAAGATTGAAATTAGAATAAATATAATGAACTAACTATAGTCCGCCAAACAATGGTTGCCACAATGCACGAACTTCTTTTCTAGCTAAAGTTACTTGACATAACTTGCATTCAAGTATCATTTCATAAGTTTCCTAATTATTGATCCCCCCCCCCATACGCTACCGCCCCTGAACTATATTAATATTCTAATGTCAGACCCCCTTTTATGCAGCAAATTTATTACACCAACTATTTCCATTAAACAAAAGCAAATATTACACACCAAATGCACTTGCGACATTTTTAAGAGCCTTACTTAGCGCAGTTATCTGTAATTTTATTTTGCTGCTATTGAGCCTTAGCACTAGTGATAGACATTGTTTCTTAGAGAATTATTTGTATTGATAATTAAAAACCCTTGGAACATTTACCAGTTACCAAGATGAGGATAGGAAAGATAAGCAATAAGATAACTCTAGCAGGGTACTTTAATTGAAGCCATATTGAATTAGTTTTTTTTAGAAGGTAAATTAATTTTTATGGGTATATCCATGATTTTGAATGACTTTCTTTGATTGTGAAGGCCTAAGCTTCAGATTACTTAGCTATGCCTTAAGCACATTTCATCCTAGCAGAATAGGTATCTTAACTATGGTTTTGTTATCACAGTGTTGTTTATTAAATTATAATGAAGCGAATTTGAGGCATAAAACATAAATTAACCAAAAAGACAATGGCATAGCCAGGATCATCAGAGGGTGGGGTGGGGGGTTACAACCAAGCCACTGAGAGGGGATGGAATGTGCAGAATACTCACAAGCAGATTTTTGAGGAGGGGTTAAAACTTCTAAATACAGGGAGGCATTTTGGCACATACCTCAATTTAGTTTTGCATCATTCTGCAGTTAATTGGAGAGCAACAGATGAGATGCTAGTGGATGTTTATGTCATCAAGTAAGTATTTATCAGCTTTTCACTCCCTGAAAATACATTTCACTTTCAGATGACGATAAAGTTATATTTATGTGGCACATTTATTATCAAAAATATTTTTCCATTTGAGCTATTTAGCCTATGGAATTTTCTTTCAAGTTTATAAGTGAGACGCAAACAATTTGTGTAAATAAAACAATATAGGTTCAGCTTTAATAATGATTATATTTAATAATCGTTCTGAATAATCATTAGTAAAGATGAACCTATATTGTTTTATTTACACAAATTGTTTTTGTCTCATTATTTATTGCAGTCCACAACTGGATAATTAAGCCCCATTTTCCTTATGCCTTACATTGTTTAATAACATTAAATTAATGGTTAATCTTGCAAATGACATTGTAGTTTGTGCATAGTCATAATATTAATGATTGGATCTCTGTGGACTAATTCATTGGATAAAATTTGCCAAATGGGGTTTCCCTTTTTTTCCTTTATCCAATGTGGTCTTCCCAACTCATCCCCTCCTGGCCTAAACCACTCTCATCCCCTCCTGGCCTAAACCACTCTCATCCCCTCCTGGCCTAAACCACTCTCATCCCCTCCTGGCCTAAACCACTCTCATCCCCTCCTGGCCTAAACCACGCTCATCTCCTCCTGGCCTAAATCACTCTCATCCCCTCCTGGCCTAAATCACTCTCATCCCCTCATTGGCCTAAACCACTCTTATCCCCTCCTGGCCTAAACCACTCTCATCCCCTCCTGGCCTAAACCACTCTCATCCCCTCCTGGCCTAAATCACTCTCATCCCCTCTTCGCCTAAACCACTGACCAAAGATAGAAACAAGACATTCTCAATCGGAAAACAGGCTAGATAATATTAAGTCACGCAAAAAAATGACCTTTTTAGACCCCACTCCCCCTTGTCACAAAGTTTCACAAATTCTTTACCCTCCCCCCACCTTAATATCACGTCACTGCTAAAAAAATCAAAACATACATAACATTTTCATAACTAACCTAAGATTTTATTTTATTCTTTCACATTTTCCCAAAATGATAATGGATTAAGATGTAGTATTATTAGAAATCTGTGACGGGAAATGACGAAATCATCTCCGCGCCGCAGGTAAAATGGCCACATTTTTGCGCAAAAGGTGTGCACCACTGAGGTTCATGTTACCTATAATTCCTGAGGCAATTTCGACCTCAAATTAATGTTTTTAAAATTAATTGAATAAAGATTTTTCAAAATTAGAAAATTTTAGATTTAAAATTTAGTGTTAGATTTTTTAATATTGGAGAGTTTCAAACAATGATCATTGCAAATAAATAATAATTACAGTATTATATCTTTATATCTGTTATTTAAAATTAAACATAACATATATCCTTTTATTATTTTCACAATGATTTATCAATGATCAACTTTTATTAAAACATTTTTAAGTTTAAATCTTGTACTTGTAGACTTAAAGAAAGGAGATTTACATATTTAATACCATCCATGTTAAAAGTATCTTTTAATTCTTACCTTTACATATAACTAATGTGCTAGTCACAATTTAATTAAAAAGAGGAAAACTATAGACTTAACTATAAACTGTAGACTTAAAGAAAGGAGATTTACATATTTAATACCATCCATGTTAAAAGTATCTTTTAATTCTTACCTTTACATATAACTAATGTGCTAGTCACAATTTAATTAAAAAGAGGAAAACTATTTTAGGACTATTACGAAAAGAATATTACTATTATTACATGAATAATTTAATTTTAATTTAAGTTTGATGTAGGAAGTAGGAATAAAATAATTACCCTAATTCTAATCTAATTGCCATAATTAAATTTAAAAGCCTATGCCTATATTATTTAACTTCTTATAGCTATAGTATAGCATAGGACTATTAAAGAATAGAATCAAAATATTCGTATTAGTATTATTAGTCATGTAGACTATTAGAGAGTAGTTGAAAAAATTGTAACATCTATGACTAAATAGGCCTTCTCATAAGGGGGCATCCATTAATTATGTCAACAAAATGGGTGGGGGGAGGGGGTTAGGAAATTTTTGACAGTTGTTGACAAGGGGGAGTTTAAATTGGTTGACGTCAACAATCATGTTCTATCTATTAGAATTTTAATCTTAAAAATTGACTTGTACTTTCATTATTTTAAACAATTTAATGAGTGTAAATAGTCATATGTGTTTAAGCTTTGAACAATATAAGAGTTATTTAATATGTGTCTGTCTGTGCAATGTAGATGGTTGGTCAGAATGTTAGCCCACTTTGTTAGCGCAAGAGAAGTCAAAAGGTTGTATCTCTTTACGTTACTTTACCTGTCAATTTTCTCTTTAACCGCTCCCTAGAATGATTAACACATGATTGTACACGGTGTTCAATTTAAATAAAACACCAACTCATCGGTGTTCAATAAAAACTATACCAACTCAAAGTCAGAGAGAGCTTATGGCAATTATTGCTCACACCGACTACCGGTATACTTCTATTTTAAGTGCTGAATGGTTAGATAAGGATGATGTTGACTTGTCTGGTACATCAGTTCCACAAGATGAAAATGATAATCAACTACTATACACTATGCCCATCAGGGGTGGTATTTCAAGTTTCTTTCAGGGGAAGGGAGGAGGGCAAAACCAATACTTGGTCGGCTTATTTAGTTGTTTATTACTGGAGGCGCAACAGTACATAGTAATTTAAATAAAACCAGGGGGTGGGGGGGGAGAAATGCCCTTATGCCCTTCTGCCCTACCCAAGTGATGTCCCTGATGCCCATTGTTATGATACGGCAACACCTGACTACTCCATGGGAAGATGATAGCAGCTAGAAACTATGCTATAATTGTCAGCGATACTGACAATTATCATACTTATACTTCCACAAACAATGATATTTAGTCCTTAAAAAAGTTGTTTCTGCATTATAAAATTTAAGTGAAAAACTTTTTAACCTGTTGATTAACAAGCTAAACATGTAATAAATAAAATGATTTGCTTAATTTGTATGTGTCATTTAAATAGTTTAGCACAAAGTATAATTATAATGTATTGTATTTAAAATTTATAAATTTATTTATATTATAATTCATTTTGGGGGTGGTTATAAAATGTTGACATAATTAAATAGGGTTGGGGGGGGTCATCGAAAGTTTGACAATTGTTGACAAGGAAGGTGGGGGATAAAAAAATGAGTAAAAATTTTTGACGTAATTAATGGACGACCTCTAAGTAGTAATTAAAAACATAATAAATAAGCCTATGCCTAATTAGAGACAATAGAGTAAAAAAAAACTCAATTACTTAATTTAAATTAGTCTTAATCTTAAGAAATTATGCAACAAAACAACGTATGTAATCTTGTCATGAATAATAATAATGTATCAGCAAGAAGCCTTCTTTCCAATACTTTGTTTTGCTCATTTTCTTACCTTGGCTCTCTACCCCCTTGCCCCTGTCCTATTTCTTAAATTACTAGTATTGCTAAATTAATTACTAAATTAGTTTCAGTTTTAGTTAGTTAGTTAGTCTTGAAGTTAGTGAATGTTGAAAAAACTGAATGACATGATTCATGATTATGATGAAATGAGAATCAGAATGAGAATGTCCAGAATGTGAATCAAGTCAAGTGAGATAAATATTTATTTTTACTTTTAGAAGTGACATTGATGAACAGAAATAACTTTGAGGAGTCACTGAATCCAAATTATTGTGATTTTAAACTGCAAAATACTTAATGACATTTTTACATATTAATAAATATCATATCATAATGCATTTACTGAGAATAATGGATGATGTAGCCAGTAGTCGTGAATTTTTTGACCTAAGGGAAATAACAAATATTTTAATTGTGTTACTGTTCTTTTGCATTGAGGGAAACTTGTATCCACTTTGTATCTATTGGGGAGTAAGCCCTCCAAATATTTTGGGTAATCTAATATTCACCCGTAACAATCTACTCATTTCGTTTGGATTCAATTTATTATATTTTTTGTTTATTATTAGTCTTCTTTCTAATGATCAATATTGAAATATATTTCATTGCCAACCTTGAAGGTGACGAGAAGAGAAAGGAAAAGGGCCTATTTTTTTTTTTAAATTACTGACTTGGTGCATTATGTAACATCGTGCCTTACAATTCGTTCGACATGACACGACAAAACCTTAAAACAAATTGTTTAAAGTTAAGCTGTATTCATTTATGAGACAATTTCTTCGTAAGAATACGTATCAGGGGGAGACACTAATCGTCTTATAAAATTATTTCTCAACAAATTATTTCTCATTATAATATATCTCATCTCAAGTGCAACGAAATTAGTATTATTTTTGTTTAAATTAAACAATCATTTGAACTTGATTTGCTTTTCAAATATTTTTCACGTTTGAAAAAATGCTATCAAATCAAGAGTCCAATTAAATTCAAACATATTTTTTTCGACTCTTTAGGGTGGGGTAGTCCACCCCATGTGCCACTTTGGAGTACCTCATTTGTGTGTTGGTGTACAAGACTCAATGAACAAAAATGTAGGCATTCCACGACAACACAAAATATTTGTCATATAAGAATCAGGACAATAATAATATGTTGACTGTGTTCCTGTAATGAAATTAGAATTTAAAAAAAAAACCTCCTTAAGCTTAAAATCACAAATTGTAATAATAACGAGAGAGTAGGAAGCTTGTTTGACTTCATTTACTGCTGCTCTCCAGCTGGAACGAAACTCTGCGATGATCCCATTCGTTGATTTATACGTTGACTTCCCTCATATTCCTTTTGAGACTAATTAACTTAAAATTTAGGTGCGTAATAAAATCTCCAAGGGCTAACTACAGCTCACCCGTGACAAAAAGGTTGGGGGGGGGGGGGGGCGGGGGGGTTCTGCATGTTTAATCCGCTAGTCAAAAATTAAATGTTAGTGAGTGAGCCACGTGAATAACAACAATCAACTGGGAATAATTCGTCTTGAACTCATTAAAAAAAAGGAGGTGGGGGCGTTCTAAGAAGCTTTGTTTAAATAAATTGAACTATTAAGGACAGTTTGGGTGCTGATGTCTCTCCTTGTCAGTACATTATTAGACATTTTTTTCCAAAATTTACGCTCTTTGCAATTCGAAGTTTCAGTTGTGCAGGCATCTGAGAAGTTTGCGATATTTTACTGTATTTCAACAATGAAAAAACTTTATTTTCTTGAAATACGCATGAGACTTAAATAATAATTTTAGACTATATTGGGCCAACACAGCTCAAAATATAAGGCGGACCGTAATACTTTATGAAAAACTTGTGCGGGCCCAAAGAAAATAGGACATGGAAAAGCTAATAAGTAAATAATTATAAAAAGATTATTTCGTTACTTCGCAGGCCGCAGAGTGTGTCATGTATGCTGTGCAGGCCTGGACTACAGTATGTGTGATGTTAATGTAAAATATGATGATTACATCTCGATACAGGAATTAGTAATATTATAAGGAAAACTTCACCAATGAATTAACGTCTAATATTTATGGAAATAAATTTCATTTTTTTTTAAATGTCTGCAATTTTTCTTTTAATAGATGATTAGCGGGCCTGCTCGAAAGACTGACAGAAAACTGTTGAGTTGCTTCAGCACTGAATGAACTAAATTTAGAACAGCTCGATTGTGCCTTTTACTTCCGGTGTGCCAAGGCGTTGGAGGAAATGCTAAGGTGTGGCCTTGCAGGAAAAGACGTTGGTTGGGGGACATTGTACGTTAGCTTATGGGCGTATAAATTGCAATAAACAAGACTTGCAGAGCCCCCCTCCCCCCAAACCGAATTTCTTTTAATTTTAATTTTATTTTTAATGACGTTTTGTTTTCTGAATTAAAGTTTCCGTGAAAAGAGGATTTTTCAGGATTCTTCTATCCAATCTTTAAAGTGCTGGAGCCCGGGTGTGAACTAGGAGTGGTTCTAATTTCCAGGGGATTTGCTTATCCCGATCAAACGGGACAAAAGTCACTATCATCATGGAATCCCGGGATAAAATTAATTCTGTTAAAAATATATTGTAAACTAATTGAACTATAATAACCAGGATTTGATTTTTATAACTGCTTAGTTGTTCCAGGCTTTTAACGAATGAAGAACGATGTTAAGGCTAGTTACGTGGATGGTCACTTGCTACGAGTTGCTTTACGCCCTGCTCAACCAACACTAGAGAGTGGCGAAGACAGTGCTCTTTTGGGATTCCAGCGACTTTGTGGGCCCTGAGCGAATTTCTAATAATTGTATATACCCTTCATATAGCCAACCGAAGCAGTGGCAATAGGAATGGGGTGCGGGGGTTGGTCAACCCCGGGCGGGAATTTATCCATATACGGATAAGCGGCATTTTGGGCAAACTGTAGCATTTTTTTTTCGAGGAAGGGGGGGGGCACATTCATCGCCCGCCCATTACAGCACTAACCTTAGCTACACCATTGATGGCTTTCCTACTCTTAGATCGTAATTTCCATTCAGCATAATATTAGGATGTAAAAACGAATCAAATGGCTAGTATTTCCAGTAGCCGTACTATCCCGCCAAGGTCAATCGTGTGAAGACCTTGACTATTCAAATTGGTGTAGCTGTTAAACATGTCCAAATTTTAATCAATTTCTTTACAAATTCCAGAGAAAAATGATTTGCATCGTACCATTAGCCAGAAAGGTACCAAGCAAGGTCATGATAAAGGTCATATTGAACCGACTAAAACCAGAATGATATACAGCTTCTATGATAAGGCCACCAGAGCAGTCTTCCTCAACAATAACATCGGAGAATGGTTCAAGACCACGGTTGGAGTACGACAAGGCTGCCTGCTCTCCCCCACCCTGTTCAACCTCTTCTTGGAGAGAATTATGTCAGATGCACTGGAAGCGCATGTAGCGACAGTCGGCATTGGTGGCAGAACAATCACCAAGACAGTCATTATTGGTGGCAGAACAATCACCAAGACAGTCAGTATTGGTGGCAGAACAATCACCAAGACAGTTGGCATTGGTGACAGAACAATCACCAAGACAGTCGGCATTGGTGGCAGAACAATCACCAAGACAGTCGGCATTGGTGGCAGAACAATCACCAAGACAGTCAGCATTGGTGGCAGAACAATCACCAAGACAGTCAGCATTGGTGGCAGAACAATCACCAAGACAGTCAGCATTGGTGGCAGAACAATCACCAAGACAGTCGGCATTGGTGGCAGAACAATCACCAAGACAGTCGGCATTGGTGGCAGAACAATCACCAAGACAGTCAGTATTGGTGGCAGAACAATCACCAACCTACCTTTTGCGGATGGCATAGATGGACTGGATGGAAACGAAGAAGAGCTCGCCAACTTGGTAAAGCGTCTCGACATGACTTCATCGTCCTTTGGCATGCAAATCAGTGCAGAAAAGACAACATTGATGACGAATAACACGGCCGACATCTCCACTGAAATTATGGTCGAAGAGGAAAGATTAGAGACAGTAGGCAGTTTCAAATACCTAAGAGAAATAGTCCCGGAAGAAGGCTCCAACTCTGAATTTATGTCCAGAAATGCCCAGACCACAACAGCACAAAAGAGGTTTAAGAAATTATGGAATGACAAAAAGATATCCCCAGCACCAAAATCAGGCTGAGACGCTCACTAGTCTTCTTTCTGTGAGTCCTGGACATTAACAGAAGAGCTTGAAAGAAAAATAAAGGCGATGGAGATAAGATGTTTCAGAAGCATTCTTGGAATCTGCTATATAGACCAAATCTTTAACGAACAAGTGAAAGAAAGGATTCGTCATGCAGTTGGACAGTATGATGACCTCCTGGTGACTGTAAAAAAGCGGAAACTGGAATGGTATGGCCCCGTGACAAGAAAACAAGGGCTTGCCAAAGGAATCATGCAGGGCACAACGAGAGGAGGGGGGAGAAGAGGAAGACACAAAAAGATAAGAAGATAAGATTAAAGAGACTAAAACTAGGCGATGCTTTCATGGGCGCCCGCAAAAAACTTTCTGGGGGGGGGGGGGGAATTGATAACCTTCCCGGGGGGGGGGGGGAAAAA